AAAAAAACCATACTAGAGTAACAAGAAAGATCCATCAAGAGATAATGAAATATAATGGGCGCGCAGAATCTTAAAAAAGAACTTTATTCATGATAAGGAAACGCGATGTTGGAAGGTAATGAACTAGGACACCGGGTATCAGCGGACGGCAACGATGCCTGCATCAATTAGCTTCATCAATTTTGATGCGATTTCTGGATTGGCAAGGTGCTCCTTCATGGCGTCGGGATCTTCCATCTGATTGAGTATCATACGCATTGCAGGATCGGAGAGGATCTCCTTGATCTCTGGATCGTACATAGCTCTTTGTCGAGTTGCCTCTGGGTCACTTTCGGAGGTGGCACACTGGATAATCCCTTGTCGAGCCTCTTCACACGTAGGTTCCAACTCGAGGGCTTTGCTATATCAGAGAATGAACTATGTGAGTTTTGACAACGGAGGGAGCGATAGGCTCAGAGATAAATTCATAGAAAATTCCGATGCGTGAGAAGGCAAAGTTTGGGGTGTACTGACCATGAGTAAGCAAACAGGTCCGAACCTCCTATGATGGCTACTTAATCTACGAATTTTGGTAGAAATAGATTATGTTAATTGATTGGGTAAATGCGTACTGCCGACGCGTTTACCTATTCTACAGAGTTCATACATAAATAGGGTATGGATTACAAATAGACCAAGTTGACGCTCAGTTAGGATCAAAAATGTTTCGAAAAAGAATGTCAGCGGGTCTGCGAAGGACGAAGGTCTCGTCAGTCTGCGATGTTTGGGCCATCGAAGCAGCCGAACCATAGTAGGTAGTGATGTCAAAAAGTTATGTCGTTTTACGTGCCGCATGTTGACAGGGAAGTGATGATAAACAGGAAGGATAGATAGGAATGATAAAATTGGATGTAGATCAGAGATATACACTACGAGAGGTACTGCCTATGCACCATTATCTAGACAACTGCATCCCAATTGCGCGTCAGGGACCAATAAATTCCAAACTGTCGACTATGACCGCCAAGATGCAGTCAGGTAATCACGCCTAACTAGAAACCAAGCGAAGGCATTGAGTGCACTGGTTCTGTGCGAACCAAAATAAGTAAGGCACACCCAGGATGAGGCAAGGACTGTGATAATTTAAGCACAAAAAAACTTTGCAGTGCAAGTAGCGATCATGTTCGCGTGATGTCCAGTTTACCAAACACAAACACGGAAAGTGAGTTCCAAAAGAAGCTAACAACAAATAGCTAAATCTTAATCGTTATGATTTCTATTATGAAAGGCAGAGCGGACAGACTAACCGGTAGGCTTTTCGCGCCTGGTTTAAGTCCTTCATGGCCACTAGACAGGCAGCTTTGCGGAGGTAGCCTTTGACAAAGTCGGGAGCCAAAGATATGCAGGTCTCGCAGTCCTTCAGCGCACAGGGGAATTCCATGAGTTTAGTGTAACATGCGGCGCGGTTACTGTAGAGTTTTGGATCTTCAGGGTTCCGCTTTATGGCCTCT